CACTGCAATAAAGCCTCTGGGGGGCTGGAGCGGGTCCGGAGGAGAGCAACGAGGCTGGGGAAGGGACTGGAGGGACAGTCCTGTGAGGAGAGGCTGAGGGAGCTGGGGGTGTTCAGCCTGGAGAAGAGGAGACTCAGGGGGGACCTTATCACTCTCTACAACTGCCTGAAGGGAGGGTGTAGTCAGGTGCATCCCACTTCCTGCACATCAGTCTTTTTGACAGGAAGGGGATTTTATTTTATCAGTAGACATTACTATCTCTTCTGTTCATCTGTCAGCCTCACATGGCCACTTTTACCTTTTATCGTACTCTTTTGTATCTCCGAGTATTTTTGAGACCCCAAAATGTAGGAGAGAGAAGCACAACGTGATATTAAGAAGTCCATAATGAAATGGAATATAGAGAAGCAGGAAATAACAAAAGGAAGAATAGTGCTCTGTGAATGAGCAACAGGACAAGTGGGATACTGCTCACCAACATTTGGCTCGAATTTTTTAGTTAGTTCTACCTGAGCCATCCTTTTCAGCATATACCCTCTGTTATGTGTATTACAGATATACAGTAATAGCTATACCAAATAAGTTAGAAGACATAATAGTGCCAAACCTCTCATTTGCATGAGAGGGCACGAATTGGTGGTTAAAAACTTCATTTTTAAGTATATGGGAGCTTAAAAATTAATTGTGTTTAGCAAATAGTATGTCCATCAATCTCTTAATCCACTTGTGCTTGTTGCTTCCTAACTTCAAAAGCTTGTAGACTACATGTGTTCAGAAGAATAATGGGAATACACTTAGAAGAGAAGGGGGGAAGCGGAGATAAAATCAAGTATGCATAGTTTTCTGTGTTCAAAAGCATCTGAAAAAGGTGCAGATCATACATTTGTAATGTAAATTGATAATCTCACTCGTATCACTAGCTGTTAATGTTTTTATGTGAACTTCAATTTCTGTGTTGGGAAAAGATCATTTAATAGGCACTGTTGCAGACACAGATTTTTGAGGGTAGCGGAGCACTATGAAAATAAAGAGTGGTCAGCCTTCATGATGAAGCAGCAGAAGCTGGAGTTAGCTTTAACATCCTTAGGAGAGCCAAGTATTGGAGTGCAAGAATGGCTAACCAGCATTAAACCTGCAGCATTTTTGTAGTTTCAGTAAAACTGTTGAGTTTAGTTCTCCCTAGCACAGAGAAGGCAGCCCTTATACATTCAGCAGAGAGCCTGAGCCACCTTCAACCAGAATATGCGTAGTTTTGGGGATGATAAAGATTTCTGGAGGAAGGTGTCCTATCTCCAGGTAAGAACTCCTTCCATATAATGTTGTAGTCAGCCTACTTCTAAACAGGGAGAAAATGTGAAGGTACTGTTTGAGTCAGGGGACCAATTGAGATGGGAAGCAAAAATACTCTATTTATGAGCTGTAAATTAAAGATAGATGCAGTAGTGGATACCTGGGCAAGCATAAAGTGCTGCTTCCTCGCATACGTTCTTTCAGCTTCAAACAGCTGACAGACCAGTGAGTTTCTCAGCTAGAAACTTCTCTCTCTTTTATAATTATTGATGGATAGAATTGAAGACAACTGCTCATGTGAAAGTTTTCCCATCTGTATCACAAAAAAAGAGGACATTTATGGGGAAACTAGTTACATAAGGTATTCCCTACTTCTGTTGTAGTTTGGATTTCTGTTACTGGGTTAATGACAAAAATAGAGCTGGTTTACAATTCTATTTGTACTACAAAACAAAAATCATTGTATGTATTAACATAGCTGTATTTGTATATTAGGCAACATCAAACTGACTAAATTTATGGATTGTCAGTATAAGATGAATTGGTGTTTATGAAGTTTTATTGTAAGTGAGAATCAAAAGCATTTTTGTTTGTAAGAACTAATAGCAATCTGTCTTAGCTTTCTTTCATTTTAGAAAATAAATACTTGATGTTTCATTTCTGCCTCAATTTTGTTATACTTTCACTATATATTTTTTGTTTAATTCTACTCAAAGAGATACAGAAGTATTTGCTGGAGTTCTAGGAAACCAATTTTTTTACTACGGTAGGAGGTCATATGAGAAAAATGTAGTGTTTAGATAGTACTATCATTTTGATAGTATCTGGTGTTCCTCCCTTCTGCGATAAATTAAAAGCTGACTACCGCAAGAGTTCTGATAGTATTTCCAGCAGTGCAAGAGACCGTTTTAAGCAAAAAAGCAATGAGAGAATCCATTAATCCCAGAGATATTTGAAGTCTGAAGAAGTCTTTCATATTAAATTTGAGATAAAGCCTTCGGTACTATCTTGGTTTTGGAAACTGTTCTAAAACTATTGTTGGACAGATAAATAACAGTTGAAATTGAAGCTACTCACAATACTGTGTTTATTGTTGAATTAATTTAACTGAAGGAGTCATTGTTTGTTGAATTAAGTCCTAAACATAATCTTTTGCAGTAGCTTTAAGACTAAACATTCTCTTTCTAAAGAGTGAGTATTTTGCTGCGTGTTTTGTTTTGTGTTTTTTGTGGTTTTTTTTTTCATTTTTTATAACTGGGGAGACCTCTAGAGAAATAGATATGTTCAGCTGCAGTTTTTTGTTTTAAATAAAGACTCTTGCTTTTATTCATAAAAAAATGTTGAAAATAACTGTAGTTCTGTCCCTTTTTTTTGTGTAAGATTGTTATTTTTGGGAAGAGTACTGATTTAATGGTTAACAGTTACACTGTACGTAAAAACAGTACTTTAAGATCACCTTTAATTTGAACTACTGTTCTGTATATCTTTTAATAAGTCACTCTTGACTTCTCTGTTTCTGTGAGTTTTGTATGTTGTTATACATAATGTTTTGAATATATAATTTCCCTTCTAACCTATGCCGTTCTATGATTCTATGACAACTGAAAATGCCTTTTCAATTTTCAAGTTGTTTTAGAAATATACCGCTTCAGAAGCCATACACCCTACATTAATTGCTCAGGTAAAGCAAAGGCAGATGTGGTTAGAAGTTAATGTAGATGATTGTTGTAATTTTTTACACATAAAGGGTAGCAAATAATGTTTTCCACATGAATGTATAGGCAGGTAAAGATAAGTTAATGAGTTGTTAACTCCTTTGTAAAGCATTGAAAACAGGGAAAAAAAGCAATTAAGATGTGGTAAGCCATAAGTAATGTTGTAGGTTAAGAGCAAAAGTCCTGTAACAAGTACTTAATGAGAGACCATTAAAAAGCACCAACAAACAAACAAACAAACCCAACAAAACCCAGCACAACCATTTTCCACCATCTGGCATCAGTGAATCCTATTTTGTTTTGTCATTTTTTCTAAGCATTTTCTGAACTGGGTGAGCTTGGGACATAATTCAGGACATAGCATTGTAATTGGAACTAAAGAGGGTAACTTCCCAGTATCTATCTGACGCATGGTTTCCTTCATTCTCCTTCCAGGGTCTATGATTTTGAGTCATAAAACTCATCTTGTATATATATTTTTTACTGTTCTTACTTCTTTGATTTCTCTTTAGCTTATTTTATGCTGTTAGAAATTCCAGGCCTACATAGTGTTTAGATGTATTTGAAAGCTAGAAGTAGGTCAGAGGTTTCTATTGTCACAGAAGAAGTTTGCTGCTATCCCAGAGATGTGTTAGATTCCATGTTCAAAAGTCTTCCCTTAAGAAAACTACACACAAGCTGGTCCACTGATCCACTTTTATAGTCAATGGAGACAATAAAGCCTTTCCAGGGCTTGTCATTCTACTTACCATTCTGAAGTAAATGTCAAAAAAATTAAACACAGGATTTCAGTCTGAGCATGGAACTCCTAATATCCTAGCTCTGATGCAAGTCCAGTTTTGCTGACATCAAAAGCTGGATGAGATGTGTCCCACTCTGTGTCGCACAATTATAACTTGAATGCTTCATTGTGTTCAAATTGTTTGGAATTTCCTATTTTCTTTTCTATGAGCCTTCTTCATTGTGTGTGCAAAATTTGGAACCGATAAATACGAAAAATATAATGTGGTGTGGGAAATTTTTGCATTTTTTTTTTTCCCTCCAGCATTCAGAGCCTTACTTGCCCTTGGTTTAGAATTGTCTGGGATGTTAGCAGTATAGCCATGTTGCAGAGGTTTGAGAAGGAACATAATTCCGAAAGAACAGAGCTTCCTGTTTGGAATATTACAAAGAGAAATATGAGCTCTTGGATGGCTGCACCTTCCCTCTGCATCAGTTGTGAATGAGCTTTCCTTTGGACTTACATGACAGAAGGACCTAAGTGTTCAGTGGACTCATGCATTCAGTGTAGCTGATGCCCTGTTTACTGTTTTGTGAGGTTCTGTACCATGGACCGGTGTTTCAAGTTAGGCTCACAATATCAGGTTGGTCGTTATCGTAATGTGTCTACAAGTCTGTAGGTGCGTAAAACTGTGCATGATGAACTATTACACTGCCTGGATTGCAGAATGCAATCGTCAGCTTTTATCTTCTACTTCATTGCTTGTATTAGCAGATGCATTTACTCAACATTATGTAATTTAAAACGTTTTCATTTTTGGAAAATATTCTGTAAGAGTCTTGTAGTACTGGTTTTAGGTGTAGACAATGTGATGCTTCTACAATAAACTTCTTGTTCCCTTTTCAAGACTGTTGTATTAGAGGAGCACTTACGAATGCATCTTCAGTGCTCTTTGACTTTGTGTAGTTTCTGGGACTTGAACCTATCTATTGTCACCATACTCTGGGATTATTACAGCAAGAACCTGGTAAGTAGATGAATATATAAAAATGTAGAAGTGCATGCAGACAGTTCTTGATTTTTAGCAATTAATTCTGATTCTCCTCTAGTCAAGCTTCATTGCCATACTTTTGTGAAACTGACTGGTCAATAGCAATACCTCTAAATTTCTTATATTTAATTAAGAAATTGTGTTTAAATATACGTTATGATCCATTACATTATGTCCCAACAGAATGAATTAGAATAAATTTTTACCAGGACTACTGATTTTAAGATCTCATTATAACACTTTGAATACAGTTACAATGCATTTTCATTTTTTGAGTTGTGGTAGGAACATATCCTTTTGTTTGTGTGAAGGATTGCATCTTGTTACCTTTGGAATATTAGCACTTACTGTTACTTATAATATTTCTGTTTTCATCTATTTTATTTTTTTTTTAGAACAGTTGCTTTACTGTTCCTTGGCTTGGTCTGAAGGATCTGGCAAATATTAGTAAAACTTCTTTGTCAATGTTTGAGTTGGCGAAAAGTTGCTGTTGTGAACAGCAGATCCCTGCCCTGTACAAGTCCAGCAACAGTTACTTCATTTTTCTCATCATTCTGGCACGGATGATGAAGGAAGCAGAAAACGGCGGCGTCCATCCTTGGAAACAAATCAAAGGACGGTATGGCTGCTATTTTGTTTGTCTCGCGTTGTGAAAGTCAATCAGACTGTGTGGCCCTTCCAGCCACATACCAAAACAACGGTGGGGGTACTGTGCTTGTGAGAAAGTAAAGGCGGTGAGGGATCCAAGGTACTTCATAATATGAAGAAAGCAGTTGTTCCCTGAAGTCTCTGTTGCCAGCTGAGACTGTGACAGGGTCCAAGAGCTCGGTCCAGGAATTGCCTTGGCATCCATAGCCTTTGATGATTTCCTTTGTCCCACAGGCCAGGAATTTGGTACTGGCAGCCTGTGCAGTGGTACAACCCTATTGCCAGACATATAATGTAATTAAAACACAGAAATTCTATTTGAGCTGCATGCAAGCCATGTGTTATCCAAGAACATGCAAACTGGCTCTTGATAGGCCTGCAGTTTCCTTTCTATTCCCATTTTCTTTTTTCAGGGTTTCCAAATATATAAAAATGCACACATGTATACACAACATAGGAAGTTGCGTGGTATGTTCCTTCCAAGAAAGAAGGGTTATTTTGTTTATCAAAAAGAGAAAATATACCTAATGTCTATGTATCCTTCACAAATTGTTACAGTCAGTAAAGTTTGAGTTTAAAAAATAGTACAACTGCATAGAAACAAATATGTTGCTGGATGCTGAATTCAGTATGTTGCTTTAGTTTAGTAATTTTAATTAGGCTACTCTGTTTTTACTGAAAACAAATTATACTTCCATTTTTGTGCTATTATAGATTGTTACTTTCCCTAATTTAAGAGGGGGAATAATCATGCACAACACACACTGCATTGGTCTGCTCAGCCAGTATTCATCATTTCTGTCTTGAATAAATCAATTACCCAAGTAGCAAAATTTAACAGCCTACAGCTATGATTTTGGGATGAACTCTCTTTTCAGCAGCTAACCAAGCATTAATTGATGCATGAAGAACGTAAATGCCTGTCAGTAGTAATTTACTACTAAACAACGTTAATTGGATTTGCTGTAATTTTTGGTGGCTAGATTTGATAACCTGAGCACCATTTCCAACTATTTTTCCAGGTGATGGAATAGGAAAACAGCGTTTATGGATGTTTAACTACTGTATGTGAAACTTAGTGTAAATTAAAGGTGAAGGATATACCCAAGATTTTAAACACACAAATCAAAGTTAAGCAAGCTGTTTTAATCTTACTTCTCCGTTGTAAGAACGATGACATTTATTTAAAAGTCCAGATCCGAGCAAAGGTCACAGAAAAGACACTTTTGTGGAAGCTTTCTGCTTTTTGTTAGCCACTTAGCAGTGCCCCTCCCTCAGCTACCTGTGACTTGAGCACCATCATATAAGCAATATAGCTTCAAGTTTCTTGACTTTCTTGAATTTCTTGACCTGCTGGAGACAGGTTTTTCTCCCAAACACTTCAGTTTCCATGTTTTCTCCTAGATTTGCAGTCCACAGCCCACACAGTAGGTGTGCTATACAGGTCAGTACAGACTTTGGTGAAGCACTATGGAGAAAATGAGCTTTCCATCAGAGACCTTCCTCTCCCTTTTACTGCTGTGGTGGTTAGGTAGGTGCACCTTTGATGACAGAAGCTGTGGCAGTATGACACAAGAACAGAAAGAAATCACTAGCTATAAAGGAAGGAGAGTCCTTGGCCATTTTTTATTGTTTTAATTTTTATTTGCATTTATTTATTTTATTTATTTGTGCCACATGGAAGTAAGAGAGTTTCTATGGAGGAAGTTGGGGTAGAGGAATTGCTTGCTATTTTGAAGAGAAGACCACTTGGCAACTTCCTTTGCTAGGAATTCTCATGAGTGAAATTTGATTGATGTGAAGGCAGAATATGGAGGACACCCATCACAGACAAAAGAGGAGTCCACTTACAACATTGTGCTCAACTTTGTAGTACATGGTGGATAAGGAAGAAAGGTTAGGCTGTAGGTGAGGTTGAAAACTCTTAATGTGTACCTTGTGTTAGGAGCAGAAAATGAAACAGCATGTTTGTTCTAGTAACCAAAAGAGTAGAAGAGGGGAAAGAATCATAGAATGGCCTAGGCTGGAAGGGACCTTAGAGATCATTTTAACCCAGCCTCCCTGCCAACAGGGGCGCCACCTCTCGACTAGATCAGGCAACACATGGGCACCGAACAGGAATCGAACCCGTGGCCTTAGCGTTGTTAGCGCTACACTCAACTGACTGAGCTAACCAGCCCCCTGAAAAGAGGATATTTAAAATTTAAGCATTATTGGAAGAGGATAAGTGTAAACTAAAAACACAGAAATAATTTAGTCTATCACCCAGCGAGAAAATTGCCTGCTTTAAGCAATTTCTCCTCCCTTTTTTTTTTTTTTTGGTTTTTCTTTTTTAATGTAGAATTTATTCCAAGTTCCATCGGAGAAGAATGCAGGAGCTGACAGAAGTGGGACTGCAGAACTTTTTTAACCTGTTCCTCATGCTGGCCATTGTTGCGGAGACAGAAGATATAGTGAGTCGAGTGTCAGATCTTCTGGATTTCCTGACTCCATCCTCTGTCACTGTGTCTCAGAGAGCTCTTATCTGGAGAGGTCATTTTGCCTTCCTTTTGATTTATGTTGAAAAGAACATGGATATTAGTGTCCTGGCTGAGAAACTCTCAAATGCTTTCCATGAGAAAGCAAAGGAGTTTTTAGTGACCAAAAATGACTACGCACAGAAACGGAATCTCTGGACTCTCCTTTCGACCTACATTGATGGTGTCCAAGAAGTGTTTGAGATGAGCTGCTACCTGAGCCTTTCTGAGGAAAAGTTGCTAAATGATGGATTTACTATGCTGCTGCCTGCTTGTCGAGGAGCCGAACTGAGTATGGTCTTAAACTTTCTTCAGGTTGTTCTAGCCAGACTTCGGTAAGTTATGTAGTGAAATTGTGGATATAGACTGACGTGTTGGTTTTTTATTTAGGGGTAAACTATAGGTCATATTAATTTCTTACCGAAATAGAGTAAAAGGAAAGAGAAATCTCTGGAGGACTGTGAATGATGCCATAAATTTCAGAATCTATCAATACCTCACTGCATTTAGAATCTTAGAAATGTTTCCGTACTATTTCAGGACATTAGGTTTGGTATCCCTGTTATTTTCTTATTCATAAGAAAATAGTGGCTCTGTAGAAAGTCATCCACTTGCTACTATTTCAGACAATACCATCCTTCTTTTGTCACAGGAAATTTCAAAATTATTATCTGTAGTAAATTACTTAGGGGAGTTTGGTGTTTGAGTTTGGTGGGTTTTTTCATTTTCTTTTTTTCTCTTCAGTGAATCTATCCTGTTTTTCAGACTCTTCATTCTATTTTTTTTTCTCTTTTACCAAGGTTGCAATCAAATACAACAGTTATGGAGATTTAAATACTTGTCAGGGGTTTGATAGGAAAGAATGAAGTCATATTTTACCACTTCCAAGCAGTTTTGCTTTGATGTACTAGTTCAGTTTTCAACATTCACAGTGCCCTTCGATAAGCATATTTTTGTCTACTGATGCCTTTGAGAAGCAGTCCTCCAGTTTGAAGCCCAAACTGCTTTTTTTTTTTTTTTTATAAGATATTAAGAGGAAGCTATTGATCTGCCATTACTTCAAATGTGCAAGACTGAAATATGTGGGAAGAGCTGTGGAAGAGTGCATAATAGGAATAGTGAGGCCCATATGCAAGATCTCTCTTTAACTAGGTTCTTTGTTATTGTCTAGTAGTTTGACTGCAGCTGTCAATAGCTTATACATCCAAAGACAACTGTTTTTCAGGCAGTCTTTTGAAAAAAGATGAAGCACAAAACTAAGTTTAGTTGATTTATTATTTATTATTTCAGTACAACTGAACGTATTTGCTGGAATAAATTGGAGACTTCAAAAATACTTTGACATTTTCCCCATTAGCTAATACACAGCATTTGTTGTGTTGTTTTTAAAGATGAAATAGGGAGAGGTTCGAGACTGGTGAAAGAGTTGCATATTTCAGAACTTTGCATTTTTCGAAGCTTTCTAGAACTGAGGATTATGTGATCCTCTTGTAACACAGGGAGGAGGACACAGAAGTTTATTACAGACTTATCAAGTCACTACAAAATAGTGTTTGTACCTTTTCTTATAAAAAGCTGTTTTGCTGAAATCTTTGAATCATCGACCCACTCAAATACTAATTAGTAAGATGTTCAGAGCCTTGTTTATCACGGTTCTTTATTTCAGCTTCTGTATTTATGTATTTGGTTACTGTTACCTCCCTGTTTATCCCATCTACAGAGAAGCTCAGTTCTTCAACATTTACAAAATGCTTTGATCTTCAGGTCATATGGAACAGGAAAATGTTACTGGTTCTCTCTCTCTGACTTTGACAGAATCACAGAATATAGTCCCCTATTGCCACACAAGTAAAACACTAGAAGCACTTTCTTGGTTCAGAAGATTTGGATGACTTTGTGCAAACCAGGTGTTAAACTATTATTGGCTTAACCAGGCTGTGCTTGGTCTGTCTGCAAACTCAGGAAAGGGTGAAATGGTTCAGTGCTGTTCTCTCTCCCGTTTTTTTAAATCCAGGCAGATATAGGGCTTTAATAAATCTACTTTTTCTGTACACTGCACTCTAATAATTTTATAGCTGTATGACAGAGAATTTACCGGTAGGAAGGAAGTGAGATCACTGATTAAAGAGAGAAGCGGCTCCCTCTAGGCTGTTAGGAAATAATAACTTCATGTGCCACTTTTCTGCTAACCCCAGATGATGGCTCACAGGAGCATTCTTTATTGCTGATTAAGTAGCATTATGAAAATACTGACTTGGTTACGTTGACTAAATGCCTCAGTATTTAAAGCTTAAAATGTCAAATAGTTTTAGCAGTCTCCTTTAACATATCTTGCTGGATTGCTAGAATCGCTTTCCGGGTTTCCCAGTTGCTTTTATTTCAGGGTACTGTAAAAATGGCAGTCTTTCATTTGCAGAGTGAGGTGTAGCCAAAAGCTTTTCTTTAATTATAGCTATTCATGCTGCTATGGTTAAGGGTCTGTCAGCATTTCCATTATAAACCTTTATTTTCAAGGGTTTGTAACATAGCAGTGAAAACTTGCTCTGGGCTAAAACTCGGCATACAAGGTTTTGAAAGAGCGCTTGTTTTCTTCCTTCTTTTTTCTTAAAAGGCATCTGAAAAGAGACCCCCACCTTCATCACTTTCACATTACTGTGTTTTAAAATAACCCTTTCTGTGTTTTTCTTGCATTTTTCTTGTCTGCTAGAAAAGTACTGGTAGGTTTTGACTGTTGTATTTACCTATGTCTAGCCTATTTTAAATAACCTTTTTTAAACCACACTTTTTATTATCATTATGATCATTTTGGTGTCCATATATTCAAATAGAACTATATCTTGGCAGGAGAACTCATTTTTATTAGTTTTTGATATGTGGTGAGTGGATAATTGGAAACAAGATGCTACTTGCTGGCACTTCCAAGTATTTGATCTTTATAGTGAGATTCGGTATGAAGTGTAAGATTATATTTTAATATAGTCTCCATTTTAAAAAACGTACATAAAATAAACAGTAAGCAATCAAGAAAGTCCCCAAAATAAAAATGTAAAGCGCTTCCTTCCTATGTTTACTTGAAACATTTGGCTTCTAGCTCAGACATAATTTTGGGGTTTTTTTCTTGTTTTTAAGCAGTGTTTTAGAATCTTGATTTTTTTTTTTTTTCTTCTTTAATGAAAGGTAAATGCAGGATACTTGTCCATGTGTGCTTTCTTTTGTGCCAAATCTCTATCAATACTCATCATCTGAGTGCCTCACGATACACTAAAAACTCCCTAGGTTAATAAAAATCCAGGAATTTAATGGATTCAACAGAACTCACTGTAAAAGTGGACACAGACTGAGAAAATCTGTTGAGCGCCTGGAGACAGTAGGTTCCAGCATTGCAACATGTTATTCTTAAAAGAAGTGCTTGAAACATGTAAATTTTTTTATGTTTATTGTGGTCAGGTATTGCTCTGACATGAGCTTTCTCTCATATCATCATCCTGGCATTTGGGATTTTGTAGTGTAGTTAGCACTAGTTACAGGATTATGAAGTGCAAGTACATGCCCAGGTGTAAAAAATCACGGCTGTACTCCAGATATCTTTGCCTGCTTTCAGGGAGACTTGCAACTGATTCCCATGGGAGAAATGAGATGTACTGCAAACCTAATAACATAATGGTAATTTTATTTTGAAAACAATTCTTATGTATTTATGCTCATTTGCACTGTCCTGCCAGTGGTGAAGGATATGAAAAGTTATTAAAAATTTCGGTGTGTAAATTTCATTAGCTTTATAGGAATACTAATCAGGTAAACCTCTCTCTAATTAAAAGTTACGTTAATAATCGGGCCATGGATAACAGCAGAACTGGATGTTTCTATCTGTTAGAGTGTGTGTAGCCTTGAGGTTGTGAGAGAAATCATGATAGGAATGGATTATCCAGTATATCTTTGCTATGGAAATGTATAGTCATTTGTAAATTTTCTTTTGTTATACTTGCCATCAAAACAGCCTGTGGGAAGCTTTCTGAGACCAACAGAAGCCTCTCTCCCCCTCTCTGCTACCGTCTAAGTCAGCAGATAGGCTCAGGAGGAGAATAGAAAGGTCCTCCCTCTCTTCTCTCTCCGTCTTTTCTTCCCCCTCAGGGGTTTTAGTGTTAGTCTTTTGTAAAATGTATTTTCTGATGTTGAACTTCTGAAAACTGTATCCAGAAGAGTTTGAAAGAGCCTGCGTCTTCTCTTACCCATCTTATCCTGTGAGTGTATTTAGAGCTACCAGTTGTGATACCTGTTAAACATAGAGGGCAACTCTGAATAACCACTGAACTGAGAGTCAGAAGATCTTATTTTGGCTCTAAAATCTCCCAAGCTTAATAAACTTTGTTCCCCTGTATGGAAAACAGAAATAAGTCCTTCCTTTTTGACTTCACAACATAATCTTATGCTTGGGGAACAAGCATGTCTTGCTGTGTTAATTTGACCTATGGTTTGAAGTATTTTTAGATTGTTTAAAAGTTCAGTTATTCCATTAATTGAGGTTTGAATGAGTGTGTGCTTTAAAGCATGAGAATTAAGCACTGCTTTAGAATATAGCAGCATTTTGAGAAGTTTGCGGTGTCTGAATGCTTAAAGTGATCTGTTACCATCTTCTGTGGGAATACTGGATGTGTTCTTAGCTACAATTGTTGCTGTAAGATGTGTCTCTGGTAGTTAAAACTGAATTTATTTTCTCTTCTTCCTGCTTTATGTTGGATTTGAGATTTTCCCAGGATTTTTTTTTTCCTGAAATAACATTTTATACCTTTGTCCCTTGTATTCTGATCTTCAGAGATGGCTAGCATGTATTTCGTAGATGACAGGCATGTGTTTTGATTCCGTGTCCTCTGCTCTGAGAGTATTACTATATGAAGCAATAGAATGAGATTCAGTGTGCACTGGAGCTGTGTACCTAGTACTTTGCTTACAGAAAGTCCCTGTGTCTGTCTAGCATGGTTAAGGTTTGCAGGAATGTTCACTTCCACTTCCCACTGTCCATTTTATTGAATCTGTATGTGACGGTGTGAAAGCTGAATAACTGATTAAAATCAATTTTCTGTTGGTGTGTAAGATGTAACAGAGAGAGAGCATCAACCATAGAAAGGAGGGCAACAAAGCTGGTGAAAGGGCTGGAAGGAATGGCCCATGAGGAGAGGCTGAGGAGTTTGGGCCTCTCTAGTCTGGAGAAAAGGAGGCTGACGGGCAACCTCCTTGCTCTCTGCAGCTACCTGAGGAGAGGTGGAGAGGGTGGTGCTGAGCTCTTCTCCCTGGTGTCCAGTGATAAGGTGCGTGTGGATGGCTCAAAGCTGCACCA